TACACCAGGAATTAATTTTGAAAAGCATGTCCTCTTCTGAGAAGTTTTCCCCCAGCCTGTCTCCTCCCATTGTCCAGACTCAGCGGCCATGTCTGAGTGTTCACAGGAATAGGCTGGACTCTGATTGATCTTTGTGTGCTGTCGATATGTGCTGGGTTATGCAGTCTGTCAAACAAGGTAGTCACTTCAGACTGTGATTCAGGCTTAGCAATCAGCAACAGGGGAGCCAGCTTCTAGTGAACTGACTGTTCAGAGCTTTGGAAAAGGCCTTTTTATTGTCACACAATTTATACCTTTTAGCAAGTCAATTTCTGCATACCAAAACCCCTTATCTGAAGTTGTTTGAAAGAACCATTTGCTCAAGTAATTCTTAACCATGAGACTGCTTGGTTTGCTAAGTACTCTCAGAACTAAGCTTTGCAAAGGCACTAGGATCCTTCAGGAAGGCCCCAGTTAAGAATTAAACACTTGAAACAAAAAGTAACAATCACAAAAGGTAGTTCAACCACTAGATGTTAACAACACTCCAGAATTCAAGCCAGATGCACTGGCTCTGTGGGATCTTCCTCTACAGTACACCCATGGCCCTGCCCAAGAGTCCAAGAATAAGAATACAGAAATGTAGGTTCCAGAAATAAGAATGTAGAAATAAAGAAATATAAAGCATAAGCCTAGGAGGATGAGAGCAGACTGTCAGCAGCTGAAGGATTAACTATTAACCGTGGGTTACTTTGCTCTGCAACCGATAGTTCTGTCTGCAAGGTTGAAGCTGCCCTCTGCAAACTGAGGTTAGTTCTGCGTACTGAGGGTCAGCTTTTAGATACCTTCCCCCTCACACAGGGTACTCATGACCAGCAATTGATGTGAGCTGGGTTAACTTTTAATGACGGGATGTACCTTTTCGGTTGTGCATTTTCCAATACCGTCCCTACACAAAACTAGCAGCATCAGGAGAGTGCAGGGCTTTGGTAAACAACTTCAGGGGACGCCAGGAGAGAACAATGGCGTAAATACAAGCACCGTGCAACTAAAAATACTCTGTTAATGGAAATTGCAAAGGGCATTTTGTATCTGAGTTTTACCTCAAATTTTTAAAAATTCATTTGTTCATACCTAATGTTTGTTGCTTCTTGCTATAAAACGGGGGAGTTTGGAAACTGTCCTTTGTCACAGCCTTATGAGTCCATCTCTGGCTGTAGTCTCAGCAAGTTAATAAGCTTTCTGTGACCCATGGAGATTTTTTAAATTTTTTTTCCCTTGGAATAAGGTTTGCTTCTGGTTTAATAGACCTTGGTGGTCTGTCCCCCATCTTTACACACCCCCAGTGGACCTAACACCCAACATAGCTCCTAGTCCCTACCATCGGACCCTGGTGATTGAATGAGCATACATCATTATGGTGGGACTTAACTATTTCTCTCCCCATCTGTCCTGTACTCAGTATTTCCTAAGGAAAGGCAGAATAACATCAAGTGTGCAGAGAAAGTTCGAGCACTGCAGTCCAGTCTAATCTTACACGCTATCGATTTTTCATGTGATTAATTCCATCACAGTCTCCAGGAAAGAGAGGGAAAGCATACCTGAGTAGGTGGAAGAAAAGCAGAATGACCCGCCCTTCTGGAAGTTTATACACAGCTCAACAGCTGAGTTGCTGAGAAGGGATAAAGATGCCATACACCTATAAACAAGTCTCTTTTATTCCTCTAACCAACCATGATGAATCTCTCTCTCTCTCTCTCTCTCTCTCTCTCTCTCTCTCTCTCTCTCTCGCACGCGCGTGCACAGACATTTATGCAACCGGAAGATGGGAATGGGGGTGGCTAGCTGGGGAAAGGGAATTATCACGAGTGAGAGGGAGATAACAGAAGGTAAAGGAGGTATGTGATCATCAAATGACAGTATAAACATGGATGAAATGTCATTATGAAACAATATAATGCATAATTAATACAAGCTAATACAATTTTTTTTACCATACACAAAGTTTTATTGACAATTTTGTTTACAGAAAAGTAGGAATGCATATTACACGACGTCTTATATGGAATAAGCTAGACAGTTAACATGATTACCAGGCACCATCTGGTTTTTCATGAGAAAATCCTGAAGAACTTTCATCCTGAGTACTGGTGTGGGCCACCTCGACTTGAGAAACCGTGTTTTTAAAAGATTGGGAATTATTAGTGTAAATTTTAACTATAACCTGCTTCCCCCTCCCCCCAAAAAAGAATTTGGTTTCTCCAAGTAAATTAAGAAAGTTGCAAGATACCATTGTGCAACTATCTGTTTCGAGTGATTACAGTGTTCTGCAAATTCAACAATTAGTTTCCAGCATAAAGGAATAATGACAAAGAGACAGGGAAGGACGTCAGCCTTCCATGGCAGCACAGACTCTGAAGGATGAATATATTAGATGTATTATTTGCCACGATGCATTACTTCACATATGCATGCATGAATATACACAGATAATATTCCTGTAGTGGGAACTGGAAGGACCTGTACCTATAGTACAGGTAACAATGCTTGGCAATTAGTTGAGTATTTCAAAGAAGTTGGTAGAAAAGATTTTAAACATTAACATAAATGTCAGACATCTGAAGCTAATATCAATCATGTTACTAGGTATTGCATACACATATTAAAACCTCAACTTGTACAGTACAGATCTGTACAGTAATGTGTCAATTAAAAAGAAAACATTACAAAGAAAGGGAGGCAGAAGGGAGGAAGGAAGGAAGAAACAATGAATGAATGAAAGACTATTTTTTTTATTGTCTCATAGGCTCATCCTGTCTGTAAATTCATAAATAGCATCCTGATTTGTTTCTACTTTGAGCACTTGCGTGCCTGCCATGAATCACGCTGAGTGTCCAGCAGTTTTTTTGCTTTGAACCTGAGCCATTGGCGCTGGAGAAGGGAAACATTTTCTGTACTTGCGCTCGACCCCAACACCTTTTCTTCAGCTGACATGGTTATCGTGATCCCAGTAAATTACATCATTCCTTTGTCAACATCCCACCTCCAAAGGGCTTCCTTGGTGGCTCATAATGATCTCCAAAATTCCCTTTCAGCTTCAAGCAAGAAGCAACCGGCGGTGACCCTACCTCCTAGGACACCTTCCTAGTCGGTGTCCTAGGCCCTAGTCCAATCCTGCACTGGAGTTGAAGCCCAACAAGCCTCCCTCTTCTTAGTGGGTCTGAAGGGAGAGATCATCAGCCCATGGGGATCACGCACAATGTTTGACAAACAATAAACACTTCAAGGCTTATATTTTATTAGAACAAGAAGCCTACTATAACTTATTTTCTTATGCATTTTAATTATTGTCTGGGCAAAATAGTTCATTGAATATTGATTACATCTTTGAGCATGGTATCAATCTTAGAAAATACATTTAGTCACTTTCTGACTAAGCAAACTGTTACATCCACTTTGGAAATCAGTGTGGCGATTTCTCAGAAAATTAGGAAACAACCTTCCTCAAAACCCAGCAATACCACTTTTAGGCATATACCCAAAGGATGCTCAATTGCACCACAAGGACATGTGCTCAGCTATATTCATAGCAACATTATTTGTCATAGCCAGAACCTGGAAACAACCTAAATGCCCCTCGACCGAAGAATGGATAAGAAAAATGTGGTACATTTACACAATAGAGTACTACACAGCGGAAAAAAATAATGACATCTTGAAATTTGCAGGCAAATGGATGGAGCGAGAAAACATCATATTGAGTGAGGTAATCCAGACCCAGAAAGACAAATATAATATGTACTCACTCCTAAGTGATTTTAAAACATAAAGCAAAGAAACCCAGCCTACAATTCACAATCCCAGAGAACCTAGACAACAAAGAGGACCCTAAGAGAAACATATATGGATCTAATCTACATGAGAAGTAGAAAAAACGAAGATCTCCTGAGTAAATTGGGAGCGTGGGGGTCAAGGAGAGAGTGCAAGGAAAGGGGGAAAGAAGGGAGGGGAGCAGAGAAAAACAATTTTTAAAAAGCTCAATAAAAATAATTTTAAAAAAGAGCTTGCCCCCCCAAAAAAGTTCAGGGCAGACTAAAGACAAGTGTGAAAAACAAAACTAGAAAATTACAGGGCAGTAAAGATTATCTTTAAACTCCAGGTATAAAATGTTCCCTCTACACCATCAAGCCTGCCTATATCTAGGTTTACATTTGTCAGCAGGGTGTGCAGGGTGTGGGGGCCGCGCAGCAGGCAGGACTTTATCAGTTTCCAAGCTCCTTCCCCCCAACCTCAGCAGCCGACAAAGTGCTTGCTGCTCTGAGAAGGAACAGCCACGGGGGCAGATGCTCTCACAAACCACATGAGAGCTTTTCAAGACCAGCTCTGAGGAGGAAATGAACTAACATGATGATTATTCTTCACGGGATGGCCGACAAGACAAAAGCAGGAATCTTTGTTCCTTTGAGTGGCGGCATCATGATGTTGTAGAAAACCCAGTTTTGTTACTTGAGGCAGGCATGCCTGTGGCTTTTTGTTCTTGTTTTATAACAGTTCTCTGCCAAACTTTTTCAAGTGTGAATTTCAGAGACCCTTTCTTGGAAACCAGTAATGAGAGAGAGAGAGAGAGAGAGAGGGAGAGAGAGAGCGTCAGCGAGCCAGCGCGGGAGGCAGGGAGCGAGCCCGGCAGAGGGAGAGCGAGCCCCATTTCTCTCACTTCAGTTCAGCTTTTGGGATCCACTCATTGGTATCCCTGCACCTCCACCCTTCACAAAATTAAGTCTCCTTATGTACTAACAATGTAACTTCGAAAAGAAATAAAATTCTACACATTAAGGAGAAAAAAATAAATTTGATTTTCAAAAATATTATTGTAAGAGCAGGGTCACTAACAGAACATGCCATTTTACTTGGCCTCCCTAGTGATGTTCTCTTCCTGGGACTGAACTGTGGAAGCATCCTGAGTTTTTGCAGGATTGTTCCAGCCATTGCCAGCATCTGCTTCCCCTTTTCCTTCCGGGTGGCTCTTTCCCCTTCTTTCCAGGGACCTGTTTCGGCCTGTGACTCAGACTCCTTTCCTTTATCGTTCTTGATGTCGCATTTTGCATACTTACTTGGCAGGCAGCTTGCCAGTCATGGATGCTTCTATCTCACACCACTCCTGGGAAGACACAGAGCACACAAACCACCAAGGAATCAACACGCTTAACACTTAAAAATAAAATTATACTACAGCTAGCAACTTGTGGGTATCAAGTAAAATACAAAGAATATAAAACACTCTGCCTTCCAGCCCTCTCAGATAAGCGCCTACCGTCAAGACTGTGAGCTCCACCTGCCACCATGCCTTATACCCCAAAGTAAGAGTTAAATAAATCCTCCTTCTCGTCGGGGATGTAGTCATTGTAATAAGAAAAGTAGCTAGTAGTTTATAAGCTGACATTTAATTTCTTGGGTCACTTTTAAAAATTAGATTCAGTTTGTCGATTTACATTCTTTATTTTTATCATTGATTATAGCAAAGGTGGATCAGTTTTGATCATATTTAAAGTTGAAGCAATTATCAGGATTGTGTGAGTAAGTTATCGGGCAAACATATTTGTGACACATACCTAACAAAGGCTTAGAATCTAGAATGTAGAAACATTTTTGTAGATCCACAAAAAGGGCACAAAATGTAAATTAAAAAAAAAAAAACGCCTATGGCTAAAAGTGCTAAGTACTACTTAGATCTAGGAGCAGAGGATGTGTGACCCAGAAAATGCATGTGTGAGCTACAGGATACAGTTTCTTACCCACTAAATTGATGAACACTTGCTGGGAGCCATGCGACTTTTTGGGGGGACAAGACCCGAGAATATCAGGAACAAGTGCTCCTTTTGCCAAGGCCTGGGAGAATTTAACCCATTTTTAGCAAGGCCTATGGGTAGTTTGCTGGATAATTCTGGGCATGACCCCAGGAACATAAGTGCTACCTGCTCTTCTCGCTTTCTTTACACAAACGGTTGCCTCTAGTTTCACTTTCTTAGAGCCATAGATGAAATGACTATTGCATTAGTCAAACTTTTCCCTGAGGACCCTTCTCTGGGTGAGCCAGAGGGGATGTTGTTTAAAATACACAGCAGATCTGAGTCAGCCCCAAAGCCTTTGATGTTTCAGGTGTGACCATGAATTCAGGCTTCTCAAGAACACGATGTTGCCTTTCCAATTCACCTCGTGACTGGCCTGAAAGAGTCACAGACGTTCATGACAAAATTACAAATTTGCAAAATTGTCCTGGACAAATTGATTTTAACCACAAGGGTCTAGGAGAAATGTTAATAAGTCGATGATATCAGGAGGTATGGAAACAGTCTAGGAACAGGGAATGATGCAGAATCAGAAACCCACAGCGCCCTCATCTCTACAGCTGTGTCAATACCGAAGGAAGCTGAGAGGAGGGGACCTGACAATGAAATATAAGCAGAGCCAACTATTAAGAGTACACTTTTAAGTTAAGTCGTTTCTAGGATGACGGGAGAAAGCCTGGTATATCCCCCATGGAAGATTGAGTAGTACAGATTGAAGAATGGATTGATGCACCTTGGCTGATGACTTGCCTGCCAGAGTTTAGATTTGACTGGAGGAAAACATTAACCATTAGAGGCAACACTTTCTCTCACTTTGCATGATGCTGTAACTGCAAATGCTGCCGACCGGGCACACTGTTCTGCCCGTAGCTGTGCCAAGTTAGAAAGATTCCTTTGTTGCTTGCTGTACTGCTTATGCTTCTAATATCAAGGCTATGAATCAAGTAGGCAATGATTACAGGTGGGGAAGATGAGGGGTGGAAAGGGAAGGAGATAAGAGAGCAAGCGGGCAATTATTGGAATTATTATTAGAGACTTACGGAAACAAATATGACTATAAAACTGTTCATGCAAGCTATTGAAACTGTATAAATAAAAATGACTCAGGCTATCCGGGGCCACTTGCTTGAAACAGGTGGCCAGACTTTTCTTTGTTTTGCTGACTTCACACATCCGTCCCAGGTCATCGGACCCGTTAAGAGCAAAAACTAAGTTGCCTGACAATATGAAGGGCTCAGTAGATGTGGAGCAATCAAAACATATACACACTGCTGGAGGGTGTGTGTGTGAAATTAGTAATAGTTGTAAAACAAAGTTGCATCATGTAAAGCAATTCTTCTTCCTGAAGTATCTCTATAGGAAGGTTGAAAATTGTGGACAGGTGGGGTTAATGATAGTATTATCATTTTTAAAAGTTAGAAACCACCCAAATGCCTTTAATAGAAAAGACAATATATTTTAGTAATGTGTGTGCAAGAGAACACTACTCAGCAGCAGAAATAAGTAGGTAACAGCTACATGCAAAAAACATAAACAAGTACCAACATAACACTGAGCAAAACCAGCAAGTTGCAGAGGAATATAGACAACATGAACCTATTTACATGATGTGACACATGACAAGTTCAGACTTTAATAGAAATAGAATAAAGCTATCTTGCTATAGTGGTGAATGCCTTTAAGACCAGCACTCCAGAGACAGAGGAAATGGATCTCTGTGGGTCCAAGGCCAGGTCCGCAGAATGAGTTCCAGGCCTGCAAGACCTATGTGGTAGACCTTGTCTCAAAAGCAAAGTAAAGCTCCTGAAAACCTTACACCTCTCCTCCTTTCCTGTAGAAAATAGGGAGAGATGGGTTAGAGTGAAGAAGAGGGGCTAACTAGAGCGAGTGTGCCTTGACTCAGTCGTCACATCTTCCCTGGGAAAAGGGATTAAACTTGAGGAAAGAAGTGCCTGGATTCCTGTCAGGCAGGTCTCCACTGCAAAGGCACTGTGAAATCCGCTGGACCACCCTCAATTTCCTCCCTACTTCCCTTGAGGGAGACTCAACTACGGAGTGGGTCCCCACTGCCACCAAGGCACACGGCAATTCTACTAAGCCAACTATGGCCAACTTCCTCTTTGAAAACGTTGTTCCATAAACAGAACATGAATTTACATGTGACTTTTTCCCCTCTCTATCCCCATTGTACATATAAAAAAGGCATTAGGTTGGAGAGATGGTACAGTGATTTAGAGCACTTGTTGACTTTGCAGATCTGGGTTTGGGTCTCAACATCCACATCCCTAACTCCGGGTCCAGAGAACTCTGTGCTCTTCTCTGAGAGAACCAGGCACGCACGTGGTGCACAGGCATACATGCAGGCAAAATGCTCACACATATGAAGTAAAACAAATATATCTAAAAAATTAGGTGATAACAATTCTTATAGAATAAAAGTTCTTTGAAAGTATAAATTTGGACACAGTAAGAAAAAAATGATTATAAAAGAAAAACTGAGAAATAATGCCAGAGATCAAAGAGGTCATCTTTTGGTATGTTAAGAGAATATGACCAGAAAGGAATGGGCAAAAAAAAACTACTCCTTTTAAAAAGGAAAAAGGAACCAGTCTGGTGAGATGACTCACTGGGTAATGGCACTTGCTGCCTAGCCTGACAAATGGAGTTGAATTCGTGGGCCCACAAAAGGAGTAGAGAAATAATTATGATTTTCACACTTGCCCTGGCAGATATGTCCCTCATCCCTAAAAAAAAAAAAAGAGAAAAAAAGTGATTTTACAAATACAGTTGACAAATATACAAGTACTATTACAGGGCCAAAGGAATCAAACCTCATTTCATTTCTATCAAGAACAAGGAAGGATGGGAAGGGCAAGCGCTCACATCACATAATAATGTTGAGAAATCATTTGAGGGCCGAAGGTGTAGCTATGTGGGAGAGCCCTTGCTCAGTGAGCTCAAAAGATCCTGGGTTCAAGCCCCATCACCACAAAAGGAAGGGAGGGAGGGAGAAGAAACAGAGATTTAAATGCCAATGTACATATACTTTGACATTGTCCATGAACGGCTTTAATAGCAGCCGCTGTACAATGGTTGAGAGCCCACAGGGCATCACAAACTGAGTGACTCTTCTTGTCAGCCCTGGATTTTAGAGACTAGAAACGTGGCTCTTCCAGAGAACCTGAGTTTGGTTCCCATAACTTCAGCTATGCAGTCCCTCTTTGGCTTCTGCAGGTACGCACACATTCATACACACAAATCCTACCAATAAGAATTAAAACCGGCCCGGGCATTGGTGGCACATGCCTTTAATTCTAACACTCTAGATAGATCCCAGCGGATCTATGTGGTCTTCAAAGCAGATGCCATAACAGTCAGGACCGTTACACAGAGACAAACCCCAACTCAAAAACCACCCCCCCCCAAAAAAATAAAAACGAAATGCGTAGTGGTACTTCACACACCTTTCACCCCAGAACTGGAGGATTAGGTAGGTTACAAAGTGTCTCAGAAAACAAAACAATATCATTTTTAGGGGGAGTGATATATAGGAACTCTTTGTTTAAATCTTCTCTAAAAAATGTCTAGTGATATAAAACATGCAGTTTAGAAACTATTTGATTAATAATAAAATTATTAATTTTATTATTATATAAAATTATTTTTATATAAAATTATTATAAATACTTGCTCATAAATGTTTAGAGAAAGTAGTTACTGCCTAGCAGATAATTCTTACATGTGATTTTATTGCCTTTAGAACTACACGTATGGGGAAAAGTACAACATTGACTTTTAGAGGTATGACAAAGGCAATAAATAAATAATAATCAGATCATTATTTTACTAAGATTTGTCAATCACTTTTAAAGACGTAGGGCTATAATAATTTTTCCTTCAAGAACATTTGAACTACTTACCTTACATTACTTGTAAAGAACTGGGCTTTTTCCCTCCAACTTCCCTATTTAACTCTTCTTTCTTTCTTTCCTTTTTTTTTTTTTTTTGGTTTTGTTTCGTTTTGTTTTTCAAGACAGAATTTCTCAAATATAGACAGAAATTCTGTATAACAGTCCTGGCTGTCCTGGAACTTACTTTGTAGACCAGACTGGCCACATAGAGGTTTCCCCTGCCTCTGGAGGCTGAGATTGAAGGCATGTGCCACCACCACCCAGCTCCAATTTAACTCAATTGCTCTCTTCAATGACAAGTTCAGGTTTGTGCTAGGCAAGAGATACATTCCCACTCAAATTGCTAATTTCATAGTATTTTATAATATAGAAGAGTGTTTCCCTCCTCTCAGCAGTGGCAGGGAAGAAGGAATATTAGCTTTATTCTTCTTTTGAGACAGCGTGTCAATAGCTCAGGCTAGTCTGAAAGGTGATCCTCCTGCCTCAGTTTTTCCAGCGCTGGGATTAAAGGCATAAACTACTACAGTCCATTGGATATACTTTTTTATCTATCCTAATGAAGTCTCCTAATAATGGAGGATTCAAAGTCTCAACTGTGTTGCATTCAATCGAGTTGTTGGCCAAGGGGATCATATGGAAATCCCTAATTCAGATCCTGATCTTTTTTTTTTCCCCCAAAGCTGAGATTTGAACCCTGTGCCTTCTACATTCTGGGCAAGCACTTACCAATGAACTAAATTCTTTCCCCTTAAATTGGCAAGTTTTCATTTGGAAAAAAAAAACCAAACAAACTGAAGTTTACATTAACTGACAGAAATAGCTTTTGACAAGTGAAATAAAAAGCAATAGTATTTTCTTCCAAAATAAACACATGTAAATGTCAAATGAGGACATATATATCACATATTATATAAAACATATTATGTATTAATATATAATATAATGTATATATTTTGTTGTTGTTTGAGGAAATGTGACTTCCGTTCTTAAGCATGGGTCCTTCAGAGTCCTCTCGCGCGGAACCGGCACCAGGCCTGCGATGGCCTTTTTTAGATCCTTCCAGATGCCTTCATGAGAGCATTTGTGGAAACGCCGAGGCTTCTTTACCATCCTCGCCAAGCATAGACGAAGGCCGCGGCACACTTACCTGAGTGGTGGGAGGGGGCGATCCCGGGCGGTGGACACCTAATCGCCCCGGGACCGGAAGAAGCCCCGGATGCACTTCCGGCAGCAGGTGAGGGCGAGAAAAGGAGTCTCCATTCGTAGAAAGCGGTCTGGGCTCGGGTGTGGGAAATAGGATCTGCCGAGAGAAGCTTCAAATTGCACACTGGGAGCAAGAGAGAATATATTAGATGAAAATTGTTTAGAATTAATTCTGAACAATTTTGAAATTTTCAAATAGCTCTGAAAAATGAGAGCTGTTTCCGCCCGGTTTCGAACCGGGGACCTTTCGCGTGTGAGGCGAACGTGATAACCACTACACTACGGAAACGAGCTGCGGTTGTGCTCTTGCCTCGAGATATTCTTTCGATACGTTTCGTTTCTGTTGTCAAGTGAATGTTGGTGACCTGTAGAGGCGTCCCTCGTGTTTAGCTCCGAGAAACAGGGAGAAGCACAAACTTTGGGCTTCATAAACGGGACCTGAAATCAAATTCTTATTCTACAAACGACTGAAAAAGAAAGACTGAAACAGAAACTTCAATAATCTCTCCAGATTACCCTTGTTTAATTAATTGTTCTGAACAGATTTTAATGGAATAAGAGGTCACTTAAAATCACCTAAAGCCAAAATGGACTGGCGAAACAGCCCGGCCTGGGGATCACGGCTCCGCAGATAACGCTGGTGCCGCCACCGCATGGCCGGACGTGGAATTTGGTCTGAAAAAAAAAAAAAAAAAAGCGCTAACCGTAAGGGAAGCTGTGTCAGGAGGATTGCTATGAATTTAAGCCGGCTGGGTTACAGAGTAACCCCAAAACACCCAGCTACAATAAAAGTGACGGTCTCATCGTAATCCTCATGTTTCTTGTTTTGTTTCAGACAAACTCAGACGTGTATGGATTTTCTTCATTAAAGATCCGTGTAGTCAAGAAAAATATGTAGTATGCACTCCGAGCCAGCCAGGAGTCGAACCTGGAATCTTCTGATCCGTAGTCAGACGCGTTATCCATTGCGCCACTGGCCCTGCACACGTAAGCCTTTGGGTGGGGCAGACAACTAGTGATGCTGCTCCCCGAGTTTAACACTGCAGTGTCTTTCTGATTTATGTTTTATTTAGGAGAGACTCTATTATTTTTACTTCTAGATTTGTTTCTGCCCCACCCCCTCCGGGGGGGGGGCGCCCCCCCCCCAACAAAACAGCGGTGAGAGGTGTCCCCATGTGGCTTTTCTACTCAAGCCCACATTCATTCAATCAATACTGCTGGATGCACGGGACATAAAATAATGAAGAAAACGGATCTTCCTGTACCCTACAGAAAACATGATAGTTTTGACATAGACAGTAAAGCTCTAAATAAAACTGTGATAGATATGGAGGAAAAAATAATACAATAAGGAAGGAAAGTGGAACATATCATAGTCCCGATGCTCCCTACCCCAAACATTTACCAAATAAGACCTCAATAGGCAGTCTCCACTACACGTCTCAGCATGCTATATCTTTCTAGGAACTGTCAATTCCGGTACACATTTGTATAGATTTTCTAAGCAAAGATAATTGTCATATGCGTGTTTCAGTCTTCAGTAGAGACTTTTGAAAAGGGTATCTATTCATGCCCTTTAAATAAATCAAGGGCTGTTAAAATAGAAGTAAATTGCTTGATATTGAGGCTATACATCTTAAGATTAGAAAACGATTTAGTTTGGGTTCATACAGTTTCAACAACTCTAAGCACGTGTGCAACTGTTTTTACACTTAAGCATTAAGGGAAGCCTACTTAATGCTTTGTCCTAAAAAACATGGCTCTTTCCCTTCAAGTTTTGTACTCAGACCCCCAAGGTAATTTGATGTCTTTTTCTACTCCATCTCAGAACGATGCTAATATATGTAAGGAAAAAGAAATGATTTCAAAAAGAAACCAATTATGTTGAAATATGTTACCAACACAAAGTCACAGGAGCACATGGTTACACTTCCAGCATTGAGGAGGTGGAGGGAGACAAGATGGTCAGAGCTAAAGTAGTCTTCCGATTCTTCCTTTAGCAAGCATCTTTCTACCTCAGACTCTGTCTCCAAACAAACAAACAAAGCATGAACATTTGTGTGCTTAGATTTTCAGTAATGAAGCAAAGTCCAGCGGCTCCAGGTCCTGTTTATTCCCATCACACTCAGAGATGGGGCTAGATCAGAGGGCATCTCTGAAAGCTATTGGGCTCATTCTGTTTGTCCAAAATAGCTTTAACCCAGATAGCTGGATACTCTGTCCACATGCCTGTCTTATTGTTTTTAATCTACAGAAACGCCCTTCATTTTGCAAAATTTCAAGGTCTTTTCTATCTGCCTCAATTTACTGAATAATGTCCAAAGCAAGGTGTTGCTTCACCTTATTTGGGTGAATCTTATTTGGCTCCAGTGTGAGTGAGTGTGTGTGTGTGTGTGTGTGTGTGTGTGTGTGTGTGTGAGAGAGAGAGAGAGAGAGAGAGAGAGAGAGAGAGAGAGTTCCAGCTTTTAGTCAGTGATTGTATTAGGTAGAGAAACCAAATCCAGAAGAGTACATCATTAGCTGCCTTACATGATTGACAGGATAAAACTTCTACAGCCTGTCTGCTGAGTAGGTAGCCTGGGTTTTGGGTGAGCCCACTATGCCCAGCTATGTTAGTGTTTAAGTACAAAACTGGGCATTACAGCCTGACCAAGCTGACGTACTAATCTACTACTATGTTGAACTCTTTCCTGGGTCCCAATGTACTCTCTTTTGGTTTTGCTCCAAGGCATAAGGAAAATTGCTGTCTGTCTCTTTTCTTTTCTTTAATGTGAACAGTATGTGACGTAAGACTCTGTCCTGTCTCCAATCTCAGATGTGTGGAGCAGAGTAAGTATGAGGTTTCTATGAGCCTGCCTTCCTACTCCATAGTGGGGGCTGCAGGGAAATAACATCCACTCTCTTTATTTCTGTTGCTTACTTACTTGTTTTGATTTCTTGAGACAGAGTCTCCTGTTGCAAGGCTGGCCTCACATCCTCTGTAGCTGAAGAAGATGACCTTGAACTTCTTAACCTCTGGTCTTTACTTCCCAAGGGCTAAGATTATAGTGTGAGCCCAACTCACGCAGGTCTGTAAAGGGTTAATCAGAGTTTCGTTATTTTCCAGGAGTTCTCTCAGGCTCAACAATTCCTTGACTTCTTAGAAATTCCATGCAAATGTCACCAGCTTTCAGTCAGAGGAGAAATACAAACCAAATACAATGTTGTTGTCTGACATCTGCCACAATTTGGTTAAAGCTGTATTTTGCGACTGAGCCTTTGAACACACCATTAACAACATGCTGGCTAACTATAAGATTAAAAAGTGGGGTTTGAAAAGATGACTCGGCTACTCTTCCAAAGAACTTCCGTTCAGTTCCCAAGTTAGGCCTGAAGCTCCAACTCCACGGGATTTAACTGCCCCATCCAGACTCCTCAGGCGCTGCATTTAGGGAAGCACACACATACACACAATAAGACATCTAAAATTTAAGATGAAAGAAGCAGGTTCTTATTTCATCAAGTTCATCATAGATCATAAATGAGTTCATAGTTCATAATTCTTCTAATGAAAGTAAGAGCCCTAGTACTCACAGACTGTCACCGTGCCCCACCTTTGTCGTCCAGTGGCTGGCTGTCTTACAGTCTGATAAATTCTTCAACTATCAGCACAGTTTAGAAATATTGAATGTTGAATTTAGCGTCATTGCTGGGACAATCGGTTTTAGGAAACCCAACGGACTGTACCTGCAGGTTTCGTTTGTGAAGTTACTTTCACAACGCTAACAACAGTTTGTAAACTGTCCGTTTTCCTTTGTCTGAATTATACTCCAAGGATGGGAGAACCGAGTAGGTTGGAAGCAGACACAAATGCACAGTTCCGGAGACAATACGGAAATGTTGCAAATGCTCTTTACTCGACCTTTTGTCAAACCAGACCCTTTGGCCAAACGTACGAAGGCTTTTCCTCCACAGCTGGTGAACACCAGCCTCTCCTTTATTCCTTTCCATGTACGGGCTGTTGATTATGAAGTCAGATTACAAATTTTTAAGGCTTGTGTTTGGAATTCTTTTCGTTAATTTTAGAAAAAAGAAGGAGATAGTTGAAACCTAAATTTACAGGGGGACGGAAGAACATGGGGGTAATTAAAAAATGACCAAAATCTTACATTTCAGTTTAACTTAAAAATCATAAAACAAAAAAACTTGCTGCATGGACCGTTTGGGAATTGGGAACATAGGTGTAACACACACACACACACACACACACACACACACACACACACACACACTTTTGAGGGCCCCGACTACTCGCTTTTCCTGGGTTTTATCAGCGTGTTGATGGGCTGCAGAGATGCATCCAGCCTTCACCCGGGCTTCTCCCAAACCGCGCCGACGAGGACTCACTTCTCTTGCAACCGAGCGATTTCTTAGGTCTTTGACGCGTAGCTGGGACCATTTTTAGGATCGGAGGATCTGCTTGGGCCGCCTTCAAAAAGAAAGCTGTAAAAATAAACAAAAGCGAGGTTCATTCCTTTTCTTTGTTGATTTGAAGCCCGAAATGCGTGCGGGCTCCGTGGCTTAGCTGGTTAAAGCGCCTGTCTAGTAAACAGGAGATCCTGGGTTCGAATCCCAGCGGGGCCTTTTTGTGGTTTTTCCGGTGTTCGATAAACCGCTCTGCCAAGTGTAACATCAAAATTATCTTCATGCACTGTATGCACTTCACGAAAGTATTAATGCAGATTGGGACGTGAATTTTAATAAAACAGCAATAACAAGGAAATGGAAGCTAAAGTCATTTCTTTAGGGACAAATTTATGCATTTCTTAGTGTTCCTATAATTTCATTTCATGTAGTATACAACCACCCTCTCACCAGCAAACACAAAAATTATTATCAGGGAAAGCAGACAGAAAAGAAAAAAACTCCTGCAAGAACTACAGGACCCTGGCTATTCTATTTTCTTTGTCAGGAATCTTGAATAGGTGTATTCTCACACTCTGTCCCAAATGGCTTGTTTCTTTTATTTGTTTATTTTTTAAAACCCGGTTTTGAAGTGGTTGATAAATCTGTTGGGGAAAGCCCCATAGCACCTCTGACAACTATATAAACCTTCATGATTCATTTTAAAGCTGTATTGTGTTCAGAGCTTTTTGGAAAGGAACATCTGAAAATCTGTAGCATCATTGACACTCTGAAATACAGAGACTTGAAGAAGATTTAGGACTGGAGAGCCTTCTACAGCATAAAGAATTTCAGAAGTTTGAAAAAATAAAGAAAAAAATGTATAGTTATCTTAGCTGAGTGTTCTCACAAGATCAGGAAAACAGGAACTCACTGAGTAGTTGCCAAACCCCTACTCATTTCCCAAGATCCAGCTCCCAGCACTTGGCACAGAAAATTCCACATGCCTGACTTGACTGCTTTTGTAGAAACAGAGCATCCTGATACTCTGAAGGACAGCTCCGGAGGTAGTTAAACTTTCTGTCTCCCACTATGTTGTAAGCAGCAATGACTATGAGAAGGCAAATTCTCTGATTTTTCTCTCTGCCTACACTCCCCCTTTCTCCAGTCTAAGAATAAAGACTATTCTCCACTTCTTGCACACCACGGTCTCCTCCTCTCACCAAACCTGCCTATCTGCCCCAGGCTGACTGCAGAAACTGAGCACTTGGGTACCATTTTTGGATGGTGGGTCTAGCACAAAGCTCAGAGGCATGGTATGCTAAGATCACAAAAGGTTCATCCAAACAGCCTGCCTTCACTTTAAGACTTCAGCTTTGTTGTTGTTGATAGTGGACCTCAGGGAAACAGGTTACACCAAACTGGGGAAATAACTGCTATAGATTTTAAATGCCTCTGATGTCGTTCTTAGCTTTTGGGTTGATGAAAGGGAAAGCTTTCCTAAGTTAATACATTCCCTGATCAATACAGAAAGTAGTCGATAAATGGTTATTTGGGGACTAAAGATATAGCCCAAGCTAATTTTGGTACTTGATTTTTAACATGCCAACTCCCCAAACCACAGAGGGCTAATCATACCTTTCAACACAAATGTGTGATCTTTTTTGAGGGAACGTCAGTTCACACACTAAAAATGTCATTGAACCTCCTTTTGTCACAATGTGTATGGATTTCTCTGTCATAATAGAACTACCAACATTTTCTTCCTTCTCAGATTTACCAAAAGCTACCCTGGCCTGTTCGTGCATATCATGCTTTACATTTTAGTCTTTGTGGTGATTAGATTTTGCAAGTTTGACAAACTAGTAACTTCAACTGAAAAAATGCCTCCATCAGAACTGCTCCTAGGTGTGATCAATTAATGACTGGAGCAGGAGTGCCCATCACAGTGAGGGCAGTGCCACCCCCTGGTAGATGTTTTGGGGAGCAAGGCAGTAAGCATCGGTCTCTGCTTCAGTTTCTGCTTCCAGGTTTTGGCACTGACTTGGCTTGATTAGTTATAATGTGTAAACTGGAATAACCCTTTCCTCCCCAGGCTAATTTTCATCAGCATTTTATCAGAGCAACAGAAAGCTCATAGACTAGACTTTACTTCCAAATGTGCCAAATAAAATTCTTTTCTTAGAGGTTCTTTTCAATATTTTTCTTTGAAATATATACCTGAATAATATACCTGAGTAATACACAAGGTCTCCTGTGTCTCCGACATCCACAACTACACCCAGTTCGTGTCTTTGTAACAGTTTCTTACAAATCTCCTCAGGGCTGGGCCTGAACATGTCCTGTTTACTTGTCTCTCTAGAGATCAGCCCTTGCCTGGCCATCAACCATGTGACCACCAACAGTGTGATGGTTAAATTTAAATGTCTAATTGAACAGCCGTGGGGTCTCCAGAGTTCTGGAACTTCCTAACTCAGTAGACTGACGGTTCTAGTATGGTCGGGCTTGATCCAGGCTTAGACTGGGTGTGGGTGTGGTAGGGTGTGGGTATGGTGGGGTGTGGGTATGGTGGGGTGCGGGGATGGTGGGGTGCAGGGATGGTGGGGTGCGGGGATGGTGGGGTGTGATGGTGGGGTGTGGGGATGGTGGAATGTGGTGAATGTGGGGAGCTACACGATCTGACTGACTTCATAGCCTCTGCTCTCTAGACTTTCAGTCCTTCATATCTGGACTGAACTAGGCCACCTACCTTCCTTGTTCCCAACTTACAAGCAGCAGATCATGGTGATTCTCAGCCTAGATAACTGTGAACCCTGCCTTCGTGTTAAATCTCTTTATGCATCTGCCTTTCTCTGTCTTCTTGTATCCCAGTAGATATTGATAGATAGACAGACAGACAGACAGACAGACATATACATACCAGTTCTGTATCTTTGTAGGATCTTAACTAGTATTAGTATATATGCAATTCTGACAAAACCAGAAACTTAAAAAAAAAAGTTCAGACCAGTGATTTGCGTAGCCAGTAAGGATGCAGACATAAGTGATGATAGTGAGTCATGAATTAAGAATTAAAATTCATCTAAATTTTCTTGTAAACAGAGACAAAGAAAATATTAAAATCTCTAGCCTCCAAGTTATCTTGCAACTACACAGTGCATCTATTGTTTAAGTTAGACTAAGAAAGAAAAATAAAATGTTTACTAAACAAAACAAAACTAAATTAAGTTTGAGTAAATTTTTAAAAACAAACATTTGTCAGGAGTGGGATTCGAACCCACGCCTCCAGGGGAGACTGCGACCTGAACGCAGCGCCTTAGACCGCTCGGCCATCCTGACTCGTTGTGAACCAGCCTGCTCCGCTCTTACTTCTATCTTTTCCAAAATGCTATTCGCCACGCTCTGCCACCTTTCAGTCGAGGTTTGACAACGTTTTAACTCTGAACTAGTCGCTGTAGCTAAGTGAACACCTCCTGCCGCGACCACAATTAACAGCTCGGAACCCTCCGCCTTCTGGCCGGGACGGAGCGCGGGCTGGGTTGCAGCCTGGTCTGCTCCGAGTCCTCAGCGGGAAGCCGGTGGGTGCTCACCCGCCTGTCTTTCCCGGACGGGGCACTCTGTCACCAAGGTGACGGTCTCCCCGTGTAGGCACATCCAGAGGCTGAGAGTCCGAGCTGTGCACCGCTGTGTGCATTGACCTAAGGCAAAAGCTTCTTAGAGACAAAAACAAAAGCGAAAACCAGAAATCGTTTCTCTCCTAAACCCATCAATGTACTTTATAGCGATCCTCGACAACAGTGGATTTTCCAAACGCAAATCAAGAGCAGGGCGACCGATTTCCCTACTGTTCGACTCAGCCGTGGGGATGGTGTCCCCGGAGTCTCACTGGAAGGAACCGAGCTCTGGTTTCAGACAGCTTTAGGTCCAGTCACCGAACTGCCCGAAGGACCCAGACAAATCGTTCTGTCCCCGTGGCCTTAAAAAACTGTTTCACCCATTCCACCACGACCTTAGTTTTAGATTTTGAGATTTAGGAAATTCGTGTAGTCCAAGCCGGCCTCGGCTTCCGAAACACTGGCCTCACAGGCTTCAATCGTCGTGTCTAGTCTAGAAACTGCTTTTTTCTTTCTTCTTTCTTTCCTTACTTTTGGACGGTTTCTGGTGTTCAAATGTCATTGACGAAACATTGCTTAATCCCTTACACTGTGAGTAAAATGTCCAGCTCTAGATATCGAGGTAGATGCAGGCGCTCAGCTCCACCCAGACCTACTGAATCTGAAATTTTGCTGTTTAAAAGCAAGAATATGGTTAATAACAATGTTCCACATACTTGGTAATTGCTGAGAGATTTTAAAGGTTGTCGCCACAAAAATATGTGTGGTAACAGTTATGGCTTGTAACTTCAGCTTTTCTGCAATGTTCCACATATCAGAACATTTTGTACACCATAGCTTTATATAATCCTGACTTGAGAATTTTAAGTAGGTTTAGGAGATAACGTTCCACATTATGGGTCTAACAGTTCCTCCACACGGTTGTGAAATCCATGACTTAAATAAATCATAGTATTTCTGTAATTCTTAGAGAAACTTCCCCAATATTAGCAGAAAGTAGGGAAAGTTTGTAGGTAACGCTTTTGACAACACTTTAGGACAACAGTTCTTTCCTGATCAATTAAATCAGAATGTCTGGGAGTGTCACCAGATGACAGAAATTTAAAATTTATTGTTGTTGTTGCTATCATTATTATTATTATTATTAAGAGGAACACTCTATGTCACCCTGACGATGGCTGGGTTTTTAAGGTGTCCTTATTACCTGAAGAAACTCTGTATGCATCCAGATTTGAGAGCACGTTTTCAGGGTTAAACTTTAGTGAAAGCCGGAATCTCTCTTTTAAAGTTGAGAGTGTAGCCACATTCATAACAGTGTTCAGGACAGTATGGAACAGGACTCTGGCTCAAATTATGCTTTTGTTTTGTTTTGAGGCAAGGTCGCATACAGCTCAGGTTGACTTTTACACCACACCAGTAGCTGAAGTTGTTGTTAAATTCTTAATCCTCCTGCCTCCACCTCCCAGGAGCTGGAATTACAGACAGATACTACCACATCCAACTGAGTTTGGTTCTTTTTAAAGGATGCTGTTACTGTACAAATGAGGTGATGTTGGTGAGTAACCCTCCTCATTACTTAGGGTGATACAGGTGACATACAGGTCACCTTAGGACATACAGGTGACATACAGGTGACATACAGAGGCTAGAACTGGAGCAGCAGGAATCAGGACTTGGTGTCCCCTAGGAATCTCACTGTTTAGTACACCCAAGACCTCTTGCCTTGAATACAGTGGGGCACAGGGAAGCAGAGATAGAGCTGACTGAGATCTGAGCAATCCTTTCTCCACTCCACCATGCCCCCTTTGGTAGGGCCCTAAAATTTACTATGTAGCTCCTCACTCAGTTCCCAGAATGCTGATATTACAAGCATGCACCACCATGCCCAGTTCTGAGACCCCTTTTCTTTCTAATCTCAGAGATACCGTTCCATATATATTCCGTGGGAGATTTTTACAGATGCCGGTTAGGATACATATTACACATTAAACACAACGACGCACTCGTCTACCTTTCCTAAGCATGTAACATTTTAATTACATTCATTCACATATTTAGCATGTGTATGTGTATGTGTGTACGGGTGAACATGATCTGGGCAAACGTGTGACTATCACCCCTTCCACTGTGTGAGTCACGACAACTCCTTCCACTGTGTGGGTCACTGGGACTGAACTCAGGTCATCAAGGTTAGCAAGTGACTTTATCTGGTAAGTCATTTCCCCAGCCCGCCAATGCCTTTTTTAAAAGGATGTCTTGACTATGACTTCTATGAATTTCTACAAGTAAAATCTGAACACAAATAAACACACCTGCTTATGCATTTATTTACTGAGATGGTGTGTGGCTATATATCCTGGGTGGACCTCTGAACTGACTGTGTAGTCCAGGCTGCCTTCAAATGTGACAATTCTCTTGCCTCTGTCTTCTGAGTTCTGGGAATACAGGCATGTGTCACCATGCTCACCTTAAATTCATTCTTTTAAAGCAAAGGTAAAGCTTTCCCCCCAGGAATACAGTATAAGACAAGCTGCATAGGGTGGCTAGTGTTTGAGAAAGAGAGAGAGAGAGAGAGGGAGAAGGAGGGGGAAAAAGAAGACACTTGGTGCTGGGAGGTGATGGAGGAAAGAGCCTGCAGTGGTCTGACTGTGTCCCCCAACTTTCATGTGTTTGGAGACTTAATTGTCAAAGTCATATGGGGGGAGGGGCAGCGCCAAGTATGGAGTACAAGACTGGGGCACCGTAAGCAAGAGCTCTGCTGGGAGCTGTACCCTCCTGGTTCATCTGAGCAAGTGACCAGGTTTACTCACCAACACAATTACCTTAACAGCAATAGAAGTGAAGTAAGTGACCCTTGGAACAAGGCTGAGAGCAGGAAGCTCTCTGCACAGCGGCCTTTTTGAAGGTAGCTTGATCCCCATGAGTAGCTACCATCCCCGCCTGAATCTGGTGAATCTCTCCTGCAGGCCTAGACCTGGGACCATACAGATCAGCACTGATGGAGCAGGCAGAGGGTCCCCGGGCAGCTTTCAGTCCTGTTTCCCTTTAATCTAGTTCCTCTTACCGGGATAAACAAATGAAAGTTCGGAAGCTGCCTTCAGCAATCAGACTTTATTTACTTATTTATTTGTTTGTTTGTTTATTATTCTGGAAGCTGGAAGAAATACAACAGAAATGGAAGTGCTTGAACACACAGGCAGGCCATTGGATACATACAATTCCAAAACAGGCAGGAGGACACTGAAGCAGACACAAATAGGAACAAGCTGTCCAGTTGTGTTGAGCATCATGGTGCAACACTGGGGGTCCTAACACAAAACAGGATTTAGGAAGACTGGGTAGGCTATATTAAGCAATAGCACAGCATGGAAAAGAATGGTGGTGGAAGGGAATTGAAGGTACCTGTGAGGTGGCTGAGCATTGCAGTGGAGGCTGAGGGAGCACGCAGCTGAGACTGACAGAGATAATGATGTTACCCTGAGCAGGCTGAATCAAAACTGGTGGATTTACTAGGCATGCTGGACATGGTTGAAATTCTAGCACTTGGAAAGTGGAGGCGTGGGATGAGGAATTCAAGGTCAGTCTGAGCAACACAGTAAACCTCTACCTACACCCTTGCCACACACACACACACCTCCCTACCTAGTAAAGTCAATCGAGTGAGGTTGGATTGACCTTGAAGGGTGGGAGACAGAGGAGGGCACAGAAAGAAGAACTGGGCCTGACACTTGCGTAAATAACCTGCAGGCTTGATTCAAATCCCCCTCTATCCTAACCCTGTCCGGTTTCTTCTCTAGCCCTGCTCATTCCCACTCCTCTCAGCCCTGCCTGGCTTGCTCACAGCTCTACTCCCTTACAAGTAGGGCCAGCCTCCTCTATCCTATAGAACACGACTTGGAAAATGTAAGATACAGTGTTCAAGACGCGTCCTGAAGGAGAAGACTAAAGAACCTAAGATCCAGAGGATAGGGGGAACGGCTGGGAAGCGCGCTCTTTGGGGTACGTACAATCATGACCTCACAGGTACTGTAGTTTCCTGAATTAGACCCGCACAAAGCTAGCTCTGTCAACAGTTAGCCACGATAGGGACCCTACCTACTGGATCTACTGGAAACTGTCAGATGTGGGAGAGGAAAATCATTGTATTCAGTTGTGCCTGTCCTCTTGAGCCCAGCAAACTTCAGTGGAGAGCTCCAAATCCATGTTCCCATGAGAGCCTTCATTATATCCCTGAGTTAAACTCAGTGTCAGATTTGAAGCAAGAAGGGGTGTTGCTGAGGGGGAGAGGAGGGAAATAAGAGAGAATAGAGACGTGTGAGAGTAATTAGAATGCATTATATACATGTATGAAGTTGTCAAAAAATTTAACTACTAAAAATTTTTGAGATATGGTTCTGAAAAACCCTAGGACAGGACACATGTACCTAACTGGACCAAGTTTACTTCATTCACTCCTGTCAGGCCTTCTCTAAATTTCTTTATGGGATTTTTAGCCTAAGATCTTCCTTTCCCAGCATCCTATTTTGTTTTGCCCTTGCCTAAAACCTATTGTCCCACATTCCAAATGTTGGTGCCACCCTTATATGCCAGCCTTGGACCCTCTTGGACCCTCCGGTGACCGATGGTACCAAGCCCTCCTATGTAGGCTCTGATCTGAAGGGATGTGGCTACTAGAAACAGTTTGGAAATCACCTCTCAATCTCCCCAGTATTGGTGCGAAAACAAATTAGGAAAGCCGTTCTCCCTGCCTTCTCTAGCAGCAGCAAACCCTCCTGCCCAAGGCGAATTAATCACCGCCCACCAGAAAAAAACAGGACTGCAGGAAGCAAGCGACTGAAGCTTCAGAGCACGTGGGAGTAGACAGAGGAAAGGGAAGTTGTGGAGCTGGTACATTAAGGTGCCACTTGGCTAGGCGAGAAAGGTATCAGTTTAGAATGGAGAGTATCTGTTTCTTCAGAAGCGGAGCCTTCCCCCAGTGGGGACAAGGGCACGGTATCCTGGACATTAGGAATAACTGTGATTTTCTCAGGCCCCTTGGCAGTTGGACAGATGGTCAGGGGTTTTTTACCACAGGACCACAAGCAAAAGAAAGGACGTAGTGGGGCCGAGAAAGAGGTGCTAGGGAAAGTGTAGATAAGAGAGCCATCACTCATGTTGTAGAAGGAAATGTCTCCTGACTCATAGTCCAGAAAAACCCCAACCCGGCGAGGAGGTGCTGCTAAAGGGAGAGGGGTCCTGAGTGGGGTGAGGGCCCAGTACCCGTTTCCATATAACTCCACAGCCCAGAACCCATTCTCGGGAGTCATAGGGTCAAACCCTTTCTTCACTACATTCTCTCTACACACACCAACGGCCCAGTCAGTTCTATCTCCCACCTCCACCTCCCAGTAATGTCTCCCTGAAGTGAAGATCTCTCGGCCTAATACACAGGGCCAGGAGTCAAATCTCTCTGGTCTATCAGGCAGGATCTGACGTGAATCTTCCAAGCGAACTGATTTTGAATCCTCATACAGAAAGAGGTGGGGGTGCGCTGTGTCTGGATCCAGGGTCACGTCCACTGGAGGCAATGAGAGAGAGAGAATCAGCAATGGTACTTGGCCATTTAACCCTCCTTCCCAAATACGTGGAGCAGACTTAGGAGTTGATGAACCCTGTAGTAGGAGAGCTGCATGGCCCCTCACTTGCTGCCCTTCTCTCCAGACCCATCTCTCACCTGCAACTATGGAATAACTTAAGAACCGACTACCTAGTGGGATAGCCTCAAAGGGGCTTTTCTGCTAGCCATTCATCTTCTGTGATGCCTCCCGGAAGGTGCTGAGGTCATTTACTGTCACCTTTCCCCTTTCTATGCTGTCACTAAAGGGAACATTTGCTTGTTCTTGTGTTCAAGCCTCACAGGTCCTTGACTCCCTCCCGAGACAGGGCTTCAGAGGCACGGAGGAGCTCAGAACCACTGACCTTCATGCAGCGCAGTCTTTTTACACCCTGCGATTTGTAAAACAGAGAGACTGTCAGTGCTGTGTTAACAGACAGGAGGGAGAAAATTGTGGGTCAAAAACAAGAAGACAACTTACTGAGTTCTTCCAGAAGTCTCTCTGGAAAAGAAACAAAGTTATTTCAGTGACTTTTTATAACAGGCAAGGGGAAGGAGGAAGACTAGAATGAGAAACACATAAGGAGAAACTGTTTAATCCGCGGTGACCCAGTGAACCAGGAACAGAAATGCTGCCGGCAAAACCAATATTTCTAAGAAATCATCTGGAAGTTCCTCCTGGCTTAGGACTAGATCTTAATCATAAGATTCTTCCTGGGATGCGGGGTTAGAATTGGCCAGAGGGCCTGAAGCTGGCTTGTGAGAGGACAGGAGGTATAAAAGAACAGTGAGAGCTGAATTTGACTCTGCCTATCTCACACCCAGTTTTCTTCACACTAGGTGCCCATTGTTTTAGAAGGCTCATCATTCCATCCAACTTCAGAATTCTAAGATCCATCGTTTTCCTGTTGGACGTTCTTGTTGGTACTGGCCTGAGTCCCACTCCTCTGGAAGCTGTGACAAGAAGCCCTGTGGGCACTGTGACTTACCTTTAGAGCCAAATTCACTCTTCTGCTCTCTGGATCTTTCCTTGTATAATCGCCAAGTGAAAAATATGGACCCAATGGTCAGAAATCCTAGGGCCAGGATGATGACGGCCACAGCTGCTACCCAAGGAGTCAGCTGGGGCACAAAGGGAGCTAAACAAACAAAACAAAACAAAACAAACTGAAGAAGGGCGTTGTTTGGAAAACTAAATAATTTCAGCTTCCCTTCTGGTGCCAAAGGAGATAGAGATGGGGATGCCCTCAACAGCCCCCAACCCCCACAGCAAGGATTGCTCTTCCATACTAAACTTTTCAGAGAGATTTGACTCTGGGGGGAAAAAAAAACCCCAAGCTTCGAAGAGCCATTTAGGGCCAGCATATGTGAAATAAAAATCTAATGGGCCACTTGGTGTTACAAAACCCCTTGCTAACTACCACTGAGGTGCTGGAGGTAAAGGGAGCAGAAGGGTGACCACATGCATCACAGAATAAGCCGTGTTGGCCAATAAACAGGTAATGATTGCTGCAAAACCAGAGGTAATAACCAGGGAATGATAAAAGAGCTTACTTCCTGGAGGAACTTGGCAGCCTATATGGAGCTCCAGTGTGGGGTGAGGAAGGGAGCAGAGGTACAGGGAGGGCAGAGTCAAATCAGAAAAGTAATTTAGTCCCTACTTATTGAAGGATAAGGGTTCAGTCAAGAAGGCCCCAAGGAGAGAATTTCGCTGTCTCACTCGTTTATCCTAAAATTCAGCTCTGGAATGTTTACTGCATGGGGATTGTGTATGGCGTATTAGAGGAGGAGCCTAGGACCTTGGGCACGCTCCTGCTCCCGAGCCTTCTATCACCTAGACACAGCTCAACCCTCAGCATCGTTATTCAAATGAAGGTGGCAGGGCTTCCTTCCCTCGAGTCAACAGGCAAGAGCGTGGGAACAGGGACGGTGGAGGCAACTCTACCATGAAGCCCCTTCTGACCCGGGGCCCCAGGTGATATTGTCCTGAGTCTCTGTCAACATGGCAGTCCAATATGCGTTCCGCTGACCTGGTACCGAGATCTCTACTTCCTTCTCCTGTCCGAGGAGGAGATTCTGGATGCAGCAGGACACATTCTTGACGGAAGTGTCTGTGAGGACCACCGAAGCTGCCACAGTGAACAGGCCTTCCTCATCACGATTGCTGGCCTCTGCTACGGATGGAAGGCTGTCTCCTGAGGGCGTTCTCCACTGCACTTCTGGCTCTGGGAACCACCCAGAGGAGGTGCATTTCAGCTGGATCTGTCCATTCTCCTTAACTCCCAGACTGATGTGCGGATCAGAGCCCAGCGCTATGGAGAGAGAAGCTGGCTTTAATCTTCCTGTGGGTACTTTCCTGGGAGCATGACAATCTTAGTTTGAGAAAGACAGAGAGGAGGCAAACGTGGGCTGGGAATAGGTGGGATTCCTCTAGTCCTATGTGATGAAGAAACAATAAAGATAATTTCTTATACCTTATCAGAGACGGTGCTTTATTGGGAACAGCCTTTGAACACGAGCAAAAGTCTATGGGTAGACACGGGGGTACTTGTCCAGCCAGCATGAGCAGCAAGAACAATGACTAAGAGCTGGCTTAGGAGCTCCAGAGTCAAGAAAGAAGTCTGTAGTTAGAAGTTCATGTAACGATTTGGGAGATGAGGCAACCATGGTTAGAAATTTTAGGGGTGGATAGAAAGGCATTTTCCTTTTTAGACAGGATCTCGTGTAGCCCAAGCTGGCCTCGAACTATGCTGCTGAAGATGACCTTGAACTTCTGGTCCTCTTGCCTCTACCTCCCAAGTGCTGATATTACTTCTAGGGGCCAGCACAACCGTTTCATGCTGCGCTGAAGATCCCACCCAGGGTTTGTGCATGCTAAACAAGCACTCTACCCACCATACCTCCATCTCCAAAAGACTTTGGAAGGCTTTTTTTCTTCCTTCCTTTCTTTCTTTTCTTTCTTTCTTTCTTTCTTTTTTTTTTTTTGAGGTTTATAGTCAATAATTTAACTTTCCTTTACCTAAGCTGATGACTCGGAATTTTCTTAAATGGGTTCAACCTCATCTTTCCTCACACAATTATGCCCTAACAAAAATCAACATAGGGCCAGGCTTGGGGACACACAGCTGTAGTCCTAGCACTCAAGAGGTGGAGGAGGAAGGATCAGAAGTTCGAAGCCAGCCTCGGCTACATAATAAGTTTGAGACCATATCTCCAAAACAGCAGCGTGTGATGGTGGGGGATCTCAGTATTGAAGAGGCGGTGGGGGATCTCAGTATTGAAGAGGCAGAAGCAACTGGATAAGTTCTAGGCTAGCCTGGTCAGTACAGCAAGTTTCAGACCAGCCAACTGCTATTTAGCAAGTCTCTCTCTCTCTCTCTCTCTCTCTCTCTCTCTCTCTCTCTCTTTTTCTCTCTCTCTCTCTCTCACACACACACACACAAAGTTCAGTAACAACAAAGTAAACATATAACTACTTTTTCCATGTGAAAATGGCCATCATTTAAAGGTTTAGCACTCATAAAAGATAATAACAATATCTTTTTTCTGTTTGTTTTTTGAGACAGGGTTTCTCTGTGTAACCCTGGTTGTCTTAAAACACATTCTGTACAGTGAGGGTAGTTAGGCTGTCCCCGTACTCACGAAGTCCTGCCTCTGCCTCCCAAGCGCCAGCACCATCCGACTTTGTTTTGTTTTATTTTTTGTTTGTTTTTCGAGACAGGGCTTCTCTCTGCCCTGGAACTCAAGCTCTCTGTAAACCAGGTTGGCCTAGAACTCGGAGATCCTCCCACTTCTGCCTCCCTAGAGCTGAGATTAAAAGCCGACACCAACAACGACCGGCTAAAGATAGTTTTATGTCATCAAATACCTAGGTAAGTTTTTCTGTTATTTGAGGCTGGACTTTATGCTGCGAAGCTGCCCTGGAACTCATGAGGTTCCCAGTAGCCAAAGCTGATTTTGATTCTTCTGCCTCTATCTCGCAATTGCTGGAATTGCAGGAGGTCACTTCACCCAGTTTAAATTTAAGCAAGCAAGCAAGCAAGCGCGCACACACACACACACACACCTCACACGATTATATACGCAATCAGTCTTTTTAAGATGCACTTCCCTAGAATGACATGAGAGTTATATGTGGTACTTTAGATATGGCAAAACATAGCAACGCACTTTAGGACTAGGGGCAGCAAGACTTAAGTACTTTCGCTTCCTAGCACCTAGAACAAGTATGGTGAGAACCTGTAATCCTGTACTTTGGAGGAGGAGGCGAGAGAGGGGTATATACAGCATCTCCCACATGGTCTAGCGGTTAGGATTCCTGGTTTTCACCCAGGCGGCCCGGGTTCGACTCCCGGTGTGGGAATGCACTTCTTTTAAGTAGGCTGGTTGTATAAGCATTATTGGGCATTTGAGAAAAAAAAGCTTTTAAAGCGTTTCTAAACTGCCCCGTTCTCAAAGGAAATAAACGAATCAACTAACAATAAATTAAGAAATGCAATATTTATGTATTATACATGTTAGTCTAAGATGTAGCAGTTTCCTTAAAAGTATATAATGCTTTTACCATTGGCAAAGTACTTTTCACTTATTAGGTAATAAGTGGATAATAATAAATTTTATTTCCTCTTTGCGAATTCTTGTTGGATATAGCTTACTGGTTTCACAGCAGGAGACACGGAGTAGGAGGTTTACTTGATTCTGATCATAGCAAGCAGGGAAGTCAGAGCTCAATGTATTCTTTCCATATTATCTCGCGGTGTTGAGGGGGGATATGAGTTAAAGTAAAACCTTTTGGGGGTGGATGAAGAACATTAGAGACGCACCACACTCTATAATGCTAGGGTGTCAATCCTTAGGCACTAATCCACGAAGCTGCTCAGAGCATCTGAGACGCTCACCACAGCCTTATATAATTGCGTGAAAACACACGCAATTTAAACCAGTTCTGGGAACTGATCTAGTGAATTACGGTGTACTTTGTAGAAGGATGCAATCGCCAAAAGCGATGGTGCACACCTGTAATCCAAGCACTGTGTAAGTAGAAGCAGGGGGATTGTCAGAGCTACATAGCAGATATTGTCTCAAAAAAAAATTCAATTAAGAATGTTATATATTTCTTGGAGGAAGCAGTCTCTTCTAGACAGGGAAAGTGCGGAGAATTAAAATGAAGTATCCGCAGGAACGCCATCTCACTCTGCCTCCCGCCCCCTTGGTGGAGCCCCCTTCCCACTCATCTCCCACTGGGCGCCGGCCTGTCTTCTTCAACCTCAAAATGATTTGGAGAATGAACCCGGTAGTTTCCAAAGCGAGCGTCTAGGCGCGAAGTGACTCGGCGACGCAGCCCTCTGTGTACCCACCAGTCACTTTGAGATGCGCAGAGGCTTCCTCGGAGTAGTCCTTGTCTTTGAAAAAACACCGGTACTCCCCCTGGTCCGAGACCCTGACACCTCGGATCCTCAGAGTAGCGCGGCCGTCCGAGAGCCCGTCGGTCACCAGCGTCACCCTCCCGTGGTACTCGGTCATCTGCTGGTCCTCCTGCTCCTGACCAGCCCGGTAAAGAAGCACAGCTGGCGACCTAGTCTGTCGAAACCAGCGCAGCTCCTCCATGTGCTCCGCGCTCGCGTTTGGGGAGAAGCGACAGGTCAGCTCGGCCTCTGAGCCCAGTAGGGCCACCACTGCCTCCTGAGGTGCGATCACATCGAAGGGAGCTGCCAGAATAAATAAGGTCAGATGGGACGATGGGATGGGATAGAGGACCTACAGACCAGACTGGCTTCTAGTAAAGTAAGAAGCTCAAGCTGCCTACTATTCCTTTTGTTGCTTTGTTTGTTTTTTAGACTGGATCCCACAGATTCCAAGCTGACCTCCAGCTCACCGTGTAGCCTGGATTCTCTTGCCCTCAACTCTCAACGAGCATTGCAGGTGTGCACCACCACACCCAGCGTCCCAGTTCCTTTGATTTAAAACAACAACAATAACAAAAGCAAAAAACCTGGGGTCTCCCTATGGTAGCCCCAGCTGGTCAGACTATCTCTGTGCAGACCAGGCAGGTTTGAATCCATAAAGATCTGCTTTTGTCCTCTTAGTGCTGGAACTGCAGGCATGCACTACCACCAGGGTGCATTTTCGTTGAATCCACTGAACTCTGGTGGAGGTCCCCAACTGGAGCCACACTGGGTCACTGACATTTACAGGGACCTTTCATCCTTGCATCAAAGAGATGACTAGAACACAGACATACCTGAATCCAGCGTGGGCAGCTGCAGGACCATGAAGGTGAGCAGATAAGCTAAGAGGCAGGAATTGGGGGGAACTGCCATCTCCAACCTTGCTGGGGCAACAGGCTGCTGATGGAGTCGTCAGGAGCTTCAGGCTGGGAGATAAATGGTCATGCGGTAACTATTGGCTCTGCAAGGGCCCTGCTCTCCACCAGTTCTTTCCAACCTGGAGCGCACTGTACCTCCCCCAAACGGTAATTTTTCAGTCCATGTTACAAGAGTGCCCATCCACACCCTTCTCTAAGTCCAGTCAGGCATGCATAAAGTAGCAAACTCAGTCGTCCAGTCCTCAGTTGTCTCCAGAAGGGGGGTTCTGAGACAGTTTCAGATAAATGAAGAAATGGCGAAATCTCTTCATTTACAAGTAGGAGGAGGAGGAGGAGAAGAAGAAGAAATAGAATCAAATCATATTGAGTAGAACATTTCGTTATCCATGCTTAGAAATGATAATAAAGATAAAGCCATGGAGGTAGACATGGATAACATGAAATGAAATGAAGGAGGAGAGAGAAAATATGGGAAGGGGTGTTTCACACCTGTAAGCTCAGCACCTGGAGGATCTCCGTGAGTTACATAGTGAGCTACAGTCCTGCCTATCTAAAGAGAAGAGGGGGGCAGCGCTGAGGAGCGTGAGGAGCAGAAAGCCCAGCCCAGAGAAGCTGGACAAAGACAGCTGTGTTGTTCTGTGGCTCGCTGAGCCGAGAGTGAAGCACCTACCCACTTCAGTGGTCAGGGAGGAAAAAGGAACCAGAGCCAGAGTAACCAAAAGAAAAAGCTGTTTGTAGCCCTAGGGTCAAAGTGAGAACCAGCAGAAAGGGAAGCCTGCCCGCTGAGTGGCCAAATGTATTTTCTTAGGAAAAAACAAAAACAAAAACCAGTTCTCCGAGGATGTGAACTAGGGATTGGTAGTCCAGTGGTTCGCTGTTCCTCCTCTTCTAAGAGAGCAGATTATGCACTGAAGAACTGGACTGAACATAAGAAATGAGGAGAAAAAGACAGAGAACCTGAGTAACTAAAATGATGCGTGAGGCCATCAGCAGTTAATTTACCCCTGTAGCTTCAAGCTTCAATTCTTTTAGCATTGAAAAGGACAATAAGCCCAGTGTGGTGGTTCACCCATGTAAATTCAGGACTCAGGAGGCAGGAGGATCATTGTAAATTTAAGGCCAACCTAGGCTACATAGCAAGATCGAGGTTTACAAGAGCTACGTATAAAGAACTTGTTTGAACAAAAGAGAGTTGAGGTTTTTTTTGTGTGTGTGTCTTTTTATGGTTGTTGTTGGGGTAGTGGGGTTTGTTGTTGTTGCTTGATTTGTTTTGTTTTTAGCAAAAGACTAGTGCTAATAATACCTTGTTTGAATTATGCTGAGCAAGGAGGCATTTGAAAGAGTACTTGAAGCGAAGCAGGCAAAAGAATAGGAGCCCACCCGGTCGGGCCAGATGGTGGCCCACGCCTTTAATCCCAGCACTCGGGAGGCAGAGGCAGATGGGTCTCTGAGTTCAAGGAGGCACATGGATTTCTATGAGTTCCAGGACAGTCAAGGCTACATAGAGAAACCCTGATTTGAACAAACTAAAAACCAAAAGAAAGGGAGTGGTATGGGAGGATAAAAAGGAGGAGGAAGAGGAAGAAGAGGAGGAAGAGGAAGAAAAAGAAGAATTGGAGCCCAGAAAGTAAATTGCTTTATCATGACATTTGTGAATAATTAAAGGGTTGAGGCCACAACGACTCGGGACACTTTCAGGATTTGGTGTGTGGGTGGCAGGATTCTACTGGACACCCACCTTCACGGTGGCACAACTGCCCAGCTCACAAGGACTTTGAGCTTCTCCCTGCTAAAGTCACTCATGAGATCAGCAACTCCTCATTTTGTTTTGAATTTACATGTGTTACCAAAAAATGAGAAAATGAAGAAAAACATTTTTAGAAATGAAATCACCGCAAACCCATCAATTAGTGATAGCAGACATATATTGTTCTTGTGTTTATTTTATATTTATGTAATCATAGAAACAATTAGTAAGTTTTCCTGAATAATTAAAAGCATTGCTTTTTTTAAAAAGTATGTAATTGCCAAGATTATGGAATGTTTGGTGGGTTTTTTTTCTATTATAAATAATGCACTTGTCATTTGGAAGCGTGTCCTCTTTACATTAATGAAGCCTTGAGTTTGATCCTCAGTGGTGTTTAAAATCAGGCATGGTGGCTCATACTGGCATTCCCAGCTGTAGGCAGGAGGATCAAAAATTCAAAGCCATTCACAAATATAGACTAAATTTAAAGCCAGGGTAAGCTACTTGAGACCTTGTTAGAAGCTACCGTTATCATCCTTCGATAGCTCAGTTGGTAGAGCGGAGGACTGTAGAACAACCACATTGGATATCCTTAGGTCGCTGGTTCGAATCCGGCTCGAAGGAGAAGTGTTTTGTGGCTCAGAGTCTAGGACACACGATGGCAGGAGAATGAATGTATTGGGGGAGGCTCTATTTGAGGTCAGGTCTTTTTTTTTTGGCAAAGGTCCTTCCTTGTTCATAAATTTGATAACTCCTTCATATGCTAGCTGAGTATTTATATAATTTATAAATATTACCATTTGATCAAAGGATATACATGTTATTTCTGAAAGGATCATACATTTGACTCTGCCAGCAAAGAGAGGTATTATATGCTTACTATGGAAATGTAAAATTTGTTAAATCATTATTATTATTATCAAGTTTTCTTATGATAGCAAGGCTGGTCATTTTTCACACACTGACAAACCACTTGGTATAATCTAGGCCGGAGCTGTCCAGACCAGTTACTGTCTGTTTTGAGGATGGGGCTTCATGATGCTTCATGCTTCCTATTGGTCCGGGTGAACATTTTAGAAATTAAAGTTAATAACTATATTGTAATTTTGAAGTCTGGGGAGATGTCTCAGCATTTAAGAGCTTGACTGCTCTTGCAGAGGGCCTAGGTTCAGTTCTCAGCGCCTACATGAAAGCTCACAACCATTTGTAACTAAAGTTCCAGGGGTCTCCTGGGGCACCAACACACACGATAGATATACATGCATACACATAAATTAAAAAGAATTTTAAAGTAACTGCTTTATATTTTTGACAAAATTTCTTCTGCTTTATTTTTCTCTTAATCATTATGATTAAGATCCAAGCCAGCTACCCCAGTTGGCTCACTGGACTGCCAGGATGTGGGTTGTTCCCAAGCACAAATCTGGTTATACTATGTTTTGCTTAAAATTCTCTGCACGTTAAGGACCGGCAAGAGGGATTAGAAGGTAACAATCCCTGCATATCTGATTGTCGATCAGAAACGCCACATTCAGCTTGCTCATACCTACAGGATATGCACATTATCAAAATACCAAGTCTTTAGTTCTGAATTCTTGCCTCATCAGTTGTGGGTAATTTGTGTTTTAAAACGTTTTATGCAATACATTTAAATACGCCCTGGCTTATCAGACTGAAGAATAAAAATGTCAGTTGGGCTGGAAGGAAGTTTCAGCAGTTAAGAAAATGGACCGCTCCTGTAAGGACCTATGTTGAGTGGCTCATGAGCACCCCAGGGCTCTGATACCCTCTTTGGACTCCTGAGCATCTGCACTCATGTGCACAAACCCACACTTGGGTGGACACACACACACACACACACACACACACACACACACACATATATATATATATATATATATATATATATACAATTAAAAATAAGTCTTTAAAAAGTTGTTGCTGCCAGACAGTGGTGGCCCAACACCAATGTGTACTTTGCAGATGACAAAGATGTCTCAGTGTCAAACGGTTGCAGAAAGGGAAAAGTCTTTTTGTTGTGGGATATTTTGATGGAACTCTGACACTCCTGAGACTGCCCGATAAAGTTAAACCTTGAGTCAGAGGGTGGAGCCAGTGACTAGCTAACAGGAATTGGTCATAGAGAAGTCCTGCAATTAGGATAGAGAGGACACGGGAAGGAAAGGGTGGGAACTAGCGTTTGAGCTCTCGATTCTCTTACAGAGTGTCCCACCAAAAGCCAAGGTCAGTTAGTTGCTTCTTAGTCTCTCTGAGCTAGCAGATTTCAGCCTGCCTTTGACTTCTGACTCTTGTTGATAAATAGAATGATAGAGACTTAATTTAAACCTATATATCGAGGTCGTGGGAGAGCCTGGGGACCAGAAGCCTTACCAGACTATAGTCTGAGTGGCCAGGGGGGCTGACTGAGGGGCCATGGGACAGCAGGTGATAATTAGAATATCTGTACATTCACATACAGCTGCTAACTTGATAGAACAATTACGTCTTTCTCTTTCTTCCTCCTGTACTCTCCCTGCTGTCCCACCAATGGGCAGAATTTGGAGTTGGTGTGGTGACTCAAACCACTACCTCTAGATAACAGTGTTTATCTTCCCTCTTCCAGAACATTCTGTCCCTTCTTGTTTGCAAGATTAATTCCTCTTCCTCCCCCAAAAGTCACTTGAGGGCGGTAACCTCTGCAGCTTCTTCCAGAAGCAAACAAATGTAACTATTCTTCATCGGGGTGGGAGGGCTGGATCGTATAGCCCAGACTGGCACCAAGCACATTATACAACTAATAATAAACGGGAAGTGATTGCATTACTTCCACCTTCCAAGGCTGGGATTACAGATAGGCATGTGCCATCAACTTGGTTGCACATCACTTTTATTATTTTGTTTTATTTTTTTATTCTGAGACAAGGTTTCAGTCTGTAGCCCCGGCTCGCCTGACACTCACTATGCAGTCTAGAATGGCCTTGAAGTCAAAATGATCCTCCTGCCTCAGCATCCTGAGAACTGAAATTAATGTACGGGCCACCACGCTGGTCTGTGTAATATGTTTTATCTGTCACTTTTCTACATGTTCAATAACTCATTTATGCTTTTCTTTCTCTATTTAACCATTTACATGTTTGATGCGTGTTAATTTAATTTGTGTGCGCCATGCTGGAGATGGAACTCAAGGCCTCCTGATGAGGAGCAGACGCTGTGCTGCTGAGTCACACCCGCAGGCGTCTGCTGAGTCACACCCGCAGGCTTCTGCTGAGTCACACCCGCAGGCTTCTGCTGAGTCACACCCGCAGGCTTCTGCTGAGTCACACCCGCAGGCGTCTGCACCTTTTAGTTTTATTCTCATTCAGAATCAAGTGACGAGGCAGCAACCAGCTGTGTGACAGTTCTGGTTAAACTGAGCCAAGAGGAAGGGCTGGAGTGAGCAAGGGCCGTGCGAGTTCTGTGCTCGTAACTGGTTTGCCACTGAACGTCGTGGCCAACTGCTCTTTTAGGGCGCACACACGAGTAACATACACCAGATATGACAGTGTGACATTTTGACAATACGATTCTGAAATCATGTTCCTATTTACCAGCCCCGTGCCTAGGGTAGTATGGGGGAATGTGCATATTTGTAAGGGATGGGGAAATGAAGTGACACGGAGATGGTCTGGAGAAGGTGGAAGGGTCACCAGAGTACTTAACAGAAGCCAATGAACCGAGGTTGGACTGAACAAGATCGACAGAGAATTCAGGGATGTTATTAAACAAGACCTTCTCTGAGCTCTGCCCCTTGCAGACTCTGTGTTATCTCTGGCTATTGTTCACTCTGGTCTTTCCACTGTCCTGTGGCTTTACTGCACAACTGGCCAAAGCGGGGGCCGCCTTTTCCCTCTAGCTGACAGGCTGGGATGGTGTGAGCAAAGCCACACTCTGATGG